TGGGTCCAAGCTATCTCAGGGACCACCTTCTCCCATACAATCCTCCCCCACGCTCTCCAGTCCTCTGGGAGGAATTTGCTGCAGCCTAAAAAATCGAGGCTTACGGCTACGTCCCAGAGGGCTTTCTCAGTTGTCGCCCCCAGAGTCTGGAACGACCTGCAGGATTAGATCCATCAGTTAACATTGTTAGACAGCTTTAAAAAAAGCTGTCAAGACGGATCTCTTCCAGCAGGCCTTTCCAGATTAATTATCCCGGCCTTGGGCATCCCCACCCGCAATGTTCTCTGCATGGCCCCATCTACGGATGGAGGAAGAACATTGCTGTAGGCCAACATGTTAATTTAGTAGTATGTTTTAACTGTTTTAACTTTTAATTGTTTAAATTTGTAATTTTAACTGTTATCTGATTTAATACTGTTTTAAGGGGGGGAGGGATTGTTTTTGGGATATCTCATGTGATTTTATTGTTGTAAGTTGTCTGGATTGGGTCCCCAAAGGGCGGGATATAAATAAATTTTATTATTATTATTATTATGCAACCAACATTATACCATCCCAAACTGTGCCTTTCTAATGGTAAATTGTTTGATAAAACAAAGCAACCACTCATGGCTGTATAAAAGCCATGGGTTATCAATGTAGCCATGACTTAGTCCACAGTTCTTGTTAAGCTATCAGGCATTCTCTTTATGCCCTTGCCTCCTTTTTGCTATTACAACAGTGGAAAGGGTTAGACAATATAGTTCTTCCCTTCTGCTTCTAACCAGTTTCTTTCACACTGACTCTCAGACTTTCCCTTTGCTCAAGCATAGATTGTAATGCATGGACACTGAAGATCAGTGTAACTAGGCAACTAGCCTCCCATCCTGCATGATCCTGGAAACTTCAAAGTGATGTTCTTTCTCTTCACCTGACCAAGATAGTAATGAGTCATAATTCCATATATTTTCTCTCTCTGAAACACTCTTAGGGTGCATTTACACTTTAGAAATAATATAGTTTGCACTTTAACTGCCATAGGTTCCATCCTAAGAACCCAGGGTTTTGCAGTTTTGTGAAGCATCAGTACTTTTTGGCAGAGAAGGCCAAAGACCTTGTAAAATTACAAATCCCAGGATCTTACAGGATGTAGCTACTATACTTAAAGTGTCTTCAGACTGCATTATTTCTACAGTGTAGATGCACCCCTGTTAGAAGTTAGGAAACCTAAATATATATTTAGAATGTATATTTAGCTAGTGTGGTATAGTGTTTAGGACATTAGACAGGGCTCTGGAGATCAGGGTTCAAATCCCTAGTCAGCCATAGAAACCCCTTGGGTGCCCTTGGGCAAATCATGTTCTTTCAGCCTAAGAGGGAAGCCAAGGCAACCCCCCTGTGAACAAATCCTGCCAAGAAAATGCGTGAAAGTGTGCTTTGGTAACTACTTTGGTAATTACTTTCTACAATAATGAACTTACTTTTCTTGCCTCTAACAATCAGAGCTGCAATTCACTATTTTTCAAAATAAGTTCATGAGTTTTCTGCTTGCTACTCATTACTAGGTATGTTCTAGGGTTGCCAGGATGGGTACAGGAGGGACTTTTGTAAATTTAAGCCCAAACAGATTGAAAAGCCGGATGAGGTATCATAAAAATCAGTGAAGCTTGGTAAAGACAATTGTCTTTTCTTACCTTTCAGCCATGAACTTACATGTCTCTTGTCTCCCAGGTGGAAAGTGGAGCAGAAACATTTATTTGCCAACCAAAATGCACAAAATATTTTTATTTTTATTGATTTATTTCAAGGATTTATATCTCACCTTTCTCCCACAATGGGGTTCAAGTTTTCAAAACTCCACTGGTTTCTTCATCAGGAAAACAATATTAAAACATCATACAGGAGAAGAAATGATAAGTGATTGTGTTGGAATCACAGGCCTATATTTTGTATCAAATGTTGCTTCTGTTGTAGTTCAGTTGGCCTAGAGATCTCAGTGCAGACCGAGGCTACTCCTCTCTTAGCCATGTACCAAGACAAAGGACAGTAAAATTTAAATTTCACTAGCAGCAGTATAGTAACTTCTGTTGGGATCCAGGCTGTCTGTCCTTTGTGAAGCCACAGCCTCCTTTCTTATCAGGAGGGCATTGAATTTCTCAATAAGTCTATGTTTCATTTGAGCTATAATTGGCAAGTTTTACCTATACAAAACCTAATATTTTTTTTCTAGAAGTAGCAGTAAATACAGTGGTTCAGTGGTTAAGATGCAAGTTCAATCCCAGCCAAAGGGCTCAGGCTCGATTCAGGCTTACATCCTTCCGAGGTCACTAAAATGAGTACCCAGATTTTTAAGGGCAATTAGCTTACACATTGTAAACCACTTAGGGAGTGCTTAAGTGCACCGATAAGTGGTATAGAAATGTACTTGCTATTGCTAAGATGCAAACTCTGATGATCACAAGGTCAGCAGTTTGAGACCAAAGTACTGTGTGATGCTCCCATCACTAGTCCCAGCTTCTGCCAATTTAGCAACTTGAAAGCATGTAAAAGAGCCAGTAGATAAATAGGTACTACTCTGATGGGAAGGTAACAGCATTCCATTCAGTCATGCTGGCCACATGACCATGGAGCCATCTTCAACAATCCCTTGGCTTAGTAACGGAGATGAGCGCTGTCCTCTACAGTTGGACACAACTACACAACCTTGTCAAAAGGGAAACCTTTACCTTTTAGTAAAAGTCTTTTGTAGATTTTGGATGTTGTTTAAAGGTATTTTCTTGTAGCTGGCATTTCTATGTCCCTCCCTCCACTCTCTACCAGACATGTTAGGAGAAAACAATGTACAAGGCTGAAAGGTAAGGGAAGACATGTACCTCCTTCATTCAACTTCAAAGGGTTTTATAGTACCTCAATCTGCTTCTCAGATTGTTCTGGGTTAATGCTATAAAAGCCCCATCCTGTATCTAACCTGGCAACTCTAGTATATTCTGACTCGGTCTGAACAATGTGAATGAGAAGAGGAAGGGTCATATGCATAGCTACATGGGATCTACTATCCACTGTGTAGGGCATCCCTAGACATTTTTGCTGCCTGATGTGAAGGACAAGACAGTGCATCCTCCTGTTCCATGTATAGAGGCTGACCACATTGGCACTTGAATCTTTCTTCTCTACTAATGATAGGACAGAAACCTCCAGTAGATCTGAAAGCAGAAAGATGAAGGTTAGAACTTAGAGGGTAGAGGACAGGACACTTAGCTCTCTCCTCTAACACCTTGCTGCCATCTCCCAAAATCTTCTGCCTATAGCAACTGCCTTATTCTACCTAAATGTCATGACAGTCTTGGTACTGTGTTATAAAACAGAACCTTGTCTAGAACTTCACTGGCTCCACTTATCATGCTGCACTGTTTCTGCAGTGTTAGAACCTAAGCTGCCATTCTGAGATAAGGGCAAATGTGTTTAACCTGAAACAAATGGACATTTATGAGTATATATCCAGCAGCATTAAAAAGTGACTTGCTTCAGAAAGAATGTACTATTTTCAAGCTATGAAAGATGGGATGTTTTCCAAGCAGGATAAACATTTTAGACTTTCTATCCATGACATCATTTTGTAGCCCGCTCATTTAACTGTACAAAGAGATTAGTGTAAACATGGCCTCCCCTTTCATTCACTCACCCCATACAGAGTTGCAAACTATTCAGAGTCATTGGAAGCATAAATATGATGAGTGCCACTCCTTGACATTTTTAGGGGAGAAAAAAACAAACTTAAAATTGAAAGCCAATTTGTTTCAGTTCTGAAAAACACACTGACATGGAAAAGCAGAATGTTTGCCCTGGCTACTGGAGTTCTAGGCTCCAAAAACATTTTTTTGGAATCAATCAGGCATCACATCCCTTTTGCCAAATGAAAACCAGTGCTGACTGGGTGAAAAACTGAGACACTTGTATATATATCTTCCAGTTGACATTGCAAACTGAACTATATTAAACTCCATCCTGTTAATGCATTAGTGGGTCATCTGACTTTCTAACAATAGTAAACAACAACAACAACAACAACAATAACAACCAGCAGTACTGATACATTTCATTTTGGCATGGTTGTTGGCATAGCTTGCTTATTTATTTATTTATATTGCATTGCCTTTCTCTCAAGATGGGATTCATGGTGCTTTAGTTATGTGCTTTCACCTCTCAGAATGGAACACTTGAAGTTATGTCCCATAGTCTCACCTTAATGGACCCAGAAAGTTTTCACTTATAAAACAACCATAGCTTTAAGCCTGAAAAGAAGGAAGGGGATGGAAATTAGAGCTGCCATCCAACTGTAGAAATGGCTGGGTTAGGGTGGCCGTGTGTGCTCTTTCTATATTCCTTTATTTGAAAGGCTCTCAGAGGACACTTTGGGCTTGTTTGCTTTACTTATAATCTCTGTATTCCTCCTTGGCTGGCTGCATGCTGTTCATATTATGCAGGCTCCAAACCCCAAAGTAGGTCCTGGCTGTTTTCACAATTCTCGGACCTGATTCAGGGTTTCCACCCCTTGTCTTGCATTGGAAAGACCCATTTTTTGTTCTGGGTTTTCCAGAAAACCTGGAGCAAAATGTGTCAATGTTGACCAGCTCCCTGCATGGTCCCTGCAAGCAACTCCGCCAAGTTGCTTTGTGGATGCAAGTTGCTCTGAGGTTGGAATGAGGCACCTGCTGTTGATAACACAGCTGGGTATTTCTTTCTGATCTCACAACAATGCTCACCCATAGCAGCAGCACTGGCCAGCTTTCTACATGAGAAGACAGCTGCCCTTCATTAATCAAAAACCCAGAGCAGGTAAGGGGGGATTTGGAGGTAATTTGCAGCCAGAATACTCTGGGGGCAGCCTGGAGTATTCTGGCAAATGTATGGTAGATGAATACTTTGCTATCTGAAGATGCCCCTCTTCATTTGAAGAGCTGTTGACACAAACTAACTCCAAAGTTTATACAGGATTGCTCCCCCCCTCCCAGAAATGGTGGGGGATGAAATCTGGATGGGCCCTTCTGCATGCCAATTATATTCTCTACTAGCAACACTCTTTCCCATTCCCCTGATAGTTTTTATTAGGAAGCAACATGAGGAAAGCTACACATCCAAACCATGCACTGATTATCAAATTAAAGGCTGCTCACCCAGGAGGGATATGATCATGAGGAAGGTTAGCTGGAGATCCATGTTGCATCGCATTAGATTTGGGAATGATACAGCAGTACCTTCACTTGCCCCAGCATCCTAATCTAATCTAGAAACAGCTGCTGAAGAAAGTTTTCTAGATGAGTGATAGATTTAGTGTCCTGGTCTACAGATCATTTTGGATTGTCTCGTCATAGAGTTTTCAAGGTCAAAGACATTCAAACATGGTTTACTCCTGTACAGTACTAACTAGAATTAGCTAAAGTACCAATGCTGTTATCTCTGAGAGATCTTCTGCCAGCATTTCCCCTACTGCTGGTGCCTAGTAGCTTTCCCTTAACTTGTTGAGGTGTTTGG